GTTTCCTGAGCCTACTCACTACAGCGACAAATACATAAATCAAAAACAAGAACACAAACAAAAAACAAGGACAGCTATACATTTAGTAGCTGTAATACAAAAGTACATAAAAGTATATGCCAAATTCAGGCAGATACCATTCAGCTCAAGCTGCTCGTTGGGATGAAATGTTAATAGTCATCTTGGTTATTTGCTATATTCTAAAACATTATTGTCAGAATTGCAACCAAGAGAGATATAAGTAGCTGCTTGGAAGCAGCATAACACATACAAACTTGCCAAAGAAAATGGAGTGTTCAGCCATTCAGAACCTGAAACCCAAGGATTACGGTGGAGGGCGGGGAGGGAAAAAAATCACATTAACATTTAGCAAAAGCAGCCAGAGATTCGACCTGCATTTCATAGCAGACGAGCTACGGGGGCTACTGCTTCATTCATTAGGAAATCAAAATGTCTCCTGTGCTTCTTGCTGTAGCAAGCAGCACTTCAGGCGTCACACAAGGATTTGGAGACTGCAGCATGACCCTCCATGAACAGGTACAAGGATGTAAGCTGCATGGTACACTTCAAAGGCAGGAGCCATCGCTACATTTATCTTCTTGGGGGGCGCATTTACAAGCCAGCAGCTCCATACTTACCATCTGCAACCTGCCCGGCCACCTGATATCACCCTGCCATTCAAAAGCACCACCAACTTAATTTAATACAAGCAGCCCTTAAGTGTGGGCTAACCAAACAGCGCACGGGCTTTGGGAGCAGTAAGTCCCCTGACGAGCAGGGCTGCAGAAGGCTCACGCACCCCATGGCAGGAGCGTCGCGGCTGTATGAGCCCCGGCGGCCGGGGGCAGCGCCGGCGTCGCGGCCGCCCAAGGGGAGCCCCGGGACGCGGCGCGCGAAGCCACAGCAGCCACTTGCGGAAGGGCCTGCTCTTCCGGGCTCCGCTTTCCAGTTGTTGGCTCTAACCTGGACCTCCCGCAACGGTTGTGCTTGGACTGGGAAAGAAATCAGCCCCGTCGTTTTCCAAAAATTTAGACTTATCAGTTTAAGCTATGCCATACTCTATAGTATTTTTTTGCCGTTTTATACTAGTTAGAATAATTTTGTTTTCTACAAAAAATTAAACTACAGTTTTGAGGGCACGCAAAAGTTTCCCCTCAAATTTTACTTCTCTCCAGCTCCTTTGTAAACTAGATGTTTATTTAAAACTTAATGAAATGCTTTAATAACTGTGAATGGAAATTGTAGCCTGTCTGCAATTGTTTAAGAAAATGATCACAGTCTCTCAGTTTGGCTTGCATACACATCACATTATCCCTAATTTATAAATTGCCGTGTATTAAGTTGAGTGATTGAAAATGATCATCTTTGCATATATTCAATCACTATAATGTTTAAAAAAAACTTCATAAAAAGAAGCTGTATTTGCATCATTACTATTTCAGATTTGGAATTAAAAAAGGAAAAAAAAAAATCCAACACATACACACAATGAAATAATGAACTAAGTTCATTCCTGACATAACTCCCATGGCCAAACACTGTAATTTTAGTAGAACATTTGCTCTGCGATTCCCATAGCAACCTCAGTGCTCCCTGCTGCTCTATGTGGATTCCAGGATGACTCGACTTCTGCATGAAAACAAAAATGAAATACAAAGAATAAGCCTAAGCTATGTGCAGTCATAGTGATCTCAAAGACACTGCAAGGGCAAGGTGAAGACTCAGAGAACACTGAAAATTGTTTGACTCATGCATTTGTGACTTAATTATTACTTTATGACACTAGAATATTTCAGATTTCTGATGGATTTTCTGATGCTCTCAGACACTGAAGTATTCCATTTATCACCTAAACAGGCATGTTTTTAACTGATCTCATAGTACTAACATGAGCTAGAATAAGCAGCCTTAGGGGATGACACTTTTATAGACAACTCAAATCGTTTTAGAGGAGACTGCCACAGAAGATACTAGATGTCTTCCTCTGTTTTTATGTTTGTAAATTCGCCTGTTGTCTACAAGGATATGGATAGGAGAAAGACAGCAAAATATTTCTCTAGACTTTATCCTTCTAATTTCTATACATTCCTATTTAATTTCTATACATTTCCATGAATTTCTGCAAATTTCTATGAACCACTACCATGAGTCACTATAAAACCCTCCCATACTTCAGTCCTCATTCTCTAGCGGAAGTGGGAACACTGGCACAGGTTGTACTCTAGTCAAACCTTCTCAGCCAAAATAGCCATCATTCAAAATGAAGCCACTTGTTCCACAGAAGAGCTGTGGCTGGAGGAAACCGCTGGAGATTGCTTGGCCCACGCTGCCATGGAACAGGTTATCCAGGATCACGTCCTGTCAGGTTTCAAGCATCTCCAAGGACATATTTTCTTACTAAGTTTTGGCTGCCACTGAATGAGCGTGATGCCGCCACTTGGCTTTATGTTCCAGCTAATTTTAAACCACCTACAGTAAATAGTCCTGCAAGTATAACCCTTTTATCACAAATTGCTCAGTTTAATAATAATAAATGCTCAGTTTGAAACAACAGAATAATAAAATGCTCAGTTTAAAACAACAGAATGCAATTTCAAGACCACACTCACTTCTGTTACCGTAAGAACTCCACAACTTACTAAAGATCACATGGAAGTGGTACTTTAATGAATAGAAGACACAGGACCTTGAAGAACTCCGCATATGCGGCACCGAGTATGCCAGCTCTTCCAAATTAATATACAGCCACTTGCAGTTTTGATATTACACCCTGTAAATCTGTATGGACTGGACTAACATGAAGTTAATATAAGCAAAATATAATGAACAGTATTTCAAATAGGAAAAAAAACACTTTTATTACAACAAAAAGTAATATTCCTGACCATCTTTGCAATTTGATACTATGGAAAAGTAATTTGACTAGTGAAAGTTAAATTTTAAAGCAGTACAGAAGTTCCATGTATGTACTCAGTTTTAAGATTACTAGGAAATGGAAAATAGGAGAAGTTCTACTTTCAGAATGGAAGCACTTGAAGCAAATGTAATTTTGGGTCCCCACATAGTTCTTTGTTCTGCCTTAAAAAATTTTGCACATCAGTAGGGTTCTAAATAAACATCTTTGCTATCTGTCTTTTTTACACTAAATTCTCTGCTCTACATTCACTACAAATTTTAATCAGCCAGGATAAACAGAAGAAAACAATCTGCTGTTTATTCTTATTATGAAATGGAAAAATAGGAAAAGGAAAGAATGGAACAACAAAGTATTACAAAACATCACTGCAATATGTAAAATATAGGAGCACATCTGTTCCATTTGCAACACAGATGCACTTCACTTTCTGCAAACACCACCACCAAATCAAGACAAATTGGTCCAGAACTGAACAGCAACTCTGAGTTTGACAGCTCTGAAATATTCTCCGAGATACTGAAGACAGTAAATCCTCAAGTGAAGGACGTCCCTTTTGCAGCATTCCTCTTTAGCTTTAACATTTACCTTTCTGCAGCAACATCATGTTAAAATATATTGCAAACCAGCTCCCAGGTGTTCTCTGCAGGGATGATACTTAATCACTTGTTTTCCATTTTACTATGGGATGCTATTTTTTCCTTCCTTCCCAAACATAGTTCTTCATGTCTGTTGATTTTGTCTCCTTCCAACTTAAGATCATCGTAAATACCAAGTCTTTCTTTTAAACTACTTTCAGACCTGTTCAGCTTCGTATCACAAAGGTGCCACAGGTCACATCATTGATTATTTCATTAACAAATACGGATGAGGCAATCTCTGAATCCACTCTCTCAGAGCAAATACATTTAATAACATAGAATCAATTTGGAAAGGTGGGGGTCTCACTGGTAGGAAAAGACACACTATTCCCAGTAAAACCAGACATGGGTTTCCTATAATATAACAAAAACATGGATGACTGATTCTGACAACCTGTTTTCATGGCAAGGGACACCTATTTTAATAGAATGGAAAATACAAGGTATGCATTCACTTTAATGCTACTACAACAAAAATATATATTTTTTAAAAAAAATTAAAAAGCAAGCACTCTTCACACAGTTGTGCAATTTAAATCCTCATTGTGAGCTGAAGCTACTAAAATATTTTCTTCAAATTCTGTATAACCTTATAGATAATATCTATATAACATAATTATAAAACATGTAGGGAGCATAAACTTAAAAAGCAGATTCTTGATATGGTAACTGTTAGAGGATTTGGCCAGAATTTTAAACGCATATGATGAAAGAATGCTGGTTTCTCTGGTAAGAGAAGGAGGGAGAAATGCATTGATAAAGAATCACAAGAAATTCACACAAAGGAAAAAATAACAAGATGAAAGACAGATGAAAGTGAGTTCTGTGAAAGCCTGCAGTAGCATTTGAGTTTTCAAATTCTGTACTATTTTTGTTGCCTGGACTTCTATCAGTATACGAGTTAGACTTTTTAAACCCTAATAAATATACTTTCAAAGAACATCCACTATTTGCTTTTTAGGAGTTTAAAAAGGGCAAAGCATTCTTCCATCACAAAGCCAGCAGCAGAAACTAGACAAAATTAAAACCACAGCCACATAGAAAAGAACTGCTGAGCTTGGGGAGCTGAGTGTCCTTTCTTATTCTGACTTACCCGAGTCACATTTAAATACCTGAGGGGATTTGTGGCATCTAGTTTAAACAGAGCACTCCTCCAGTGCTGTGGCACCACTGTAAAGTCTGGGAGCTGTAGCCAACCTAGCCCAGCTTTTAAAGCATGCACATACAGTATCATTAGGATCAGCTTATGAACTTTATATATATATGGCATGCTTCAAGCTGGACCAAAGTTAAAGACATCCTTTGGCTCAACAAGGAAATCAACACAATGCAATCAACCAAAATAGAGTAGAAAATAGACTTAACTTACCAGACCCTGCTTGCTTACCTTAAAGCAAAATAAGAATTTTAAACTTTTAGCAAAACATCACAGGGACATCTCCTACCTCTCTGACTTCATGGAGCTGACCAGATCGCTGGCTCTTAACTCTTCGGGCAGCTGCAGGGGATTTGTGATGCGTGATGGTAACAACAGTTGGCCCACTTTGATTCACGTGTTTCTGGCCACTAGGCGATGCAGAGTTAACCGTCCCTGGTGGCAGAAGAGATGAGCTTCTACTTCGTGAGGATGAAATGCTCTAGAACAAGCAATGACAAATATACTTTTATGAAGGTGGTAAAAGTCAACAATTTACAGTTCAGGCTGCACATTTGCACCATTCCCTCAGAAACCTGAGCACAGAGGTCTAACTGACCTCAGAACCGACTTATTTCTTCTGAATCCTCTGCATTGCTCAGCAGAGATCTTCTTGGAAGTGTTGTGGCCATCACCCTGTTTTCTTTGATGGTCTGAAAGATGCCCTCAAAACACCTTCCAACACTCCTACATATCAACACGCTGTTGATAAGTGCGTACAAGCATGTATTTTAGGAAATTAAGAATGACTGTGAAGATGGATTAATATCAAGCCCAACACAAACAGTTTTTATGAAGTCTGTGACCTATAACTTGTCCAACTGTTTAGCATGAGCAGCAAGCATAAATAAACCTTAATGCTTTCATTGGATTAGCTTCTGAAACAGTCGAGTGCAACTCTCCTAAAGTTTAAGAGGCATCAATTGTTAGAAGGCCAATCCAAATGCCAAGTAAACATTCAGCTGTGCTTTTGCTTCAAACATTAAGCTGCTAATACATTTTAGAGTAAGTTTAGAATGAACAAATAAGATAAAATACTGTTGGAAAATTACTGGTAGCTTATCTGCAATATGAAAGGTTTTAACATGCAACCAATAAAGTGAGTGTGAATATTCAGGAGCTTTGGCTCTTCCTATCTAATCATCTATCAGTGTTGATACTGCAGCATATTTACTACAACCCTCAAACCTGAGCTATCCTGGCTTTGCATGAGAAATAAGGAAAGCATTCCGAAGAAACAGAAACATCCTTCATTTTAGGCATGCCTATTTTAAATCTAGATTAGATTCTTTTAGATTTGGTCTAGTTCATATCATAACTCATTGAGCTGCATCACCTACACTCACAAACCGGAACATGAGGCAGAACAAAGTTCAAGGGACAATACTGCTTTGAGGGTGGTTTTAAATAAATTTTATAAGGGCATATGGCAGCTCACAACAGCTGCTAGCTGGCACTCATTTAGAGTGCAGCATTTGGAAACCAGCAGACAAGAGACAGTCAGGAAGAACAGATCATTTGGGGTTTTAGTAGCACGTAGTTCTTTATTCCAAAGCTAATCCCAGACTAGAATCTACTATATCAGATAGCCAGCAAGGTTGCACTACTGGAGGGGCCCTGGGAGACCCCAGTTCTCCATGTTCGTGGCACAGCAAGGGCTCCATAGGCCGACACTGCCACACAAGGACGGCATTCAGCACTACTAGGTGTTCTTCAAGGAGAGATCACGACAGCCCCTGAGCCTCTCCTAGAGTCCTCCTCTTCCTCTGAGGGGAAGGAGGGGGTAAGTCCCAACCCTACACAACTCCGAAATTTCCAAGTCAGACAAACCGGCCATCTTGAATTAGCAAGCAGCCACAGTCTGTGCCAAACATCAAACCAGCATGCATCGATATGAACGGCTCCTATGGAAGCTTTCCTCATCTCTTCATTTTCGCTCCAGAACAGTCCACCAGTCCGTCACACAAATCCTCTGGCATCCAATTTGGGAGCATTCTTTATAGTGTGTCTGTAACACACAAAGCCTGAATGAACTCCGTATTGGGACCTCTGCCTACCCAGGGCTACCCCTTCCATTCCACACCATCTAACCAAACTGCTACAAAACAAGGACTGAAACGGCACCAGACTGCAAGGAGCTGAGGCCAGTGAGGTGGGAGCACTCCAAGGTACAAGCAGCCACCTTTGGAAACGGGGCTCCCCTCCTGGGGAGCAGCCACCCTGCCGCAGAGGCTGCGGTGACAGCACCGCGCGACGCCTGCTCGGCGCGGGGACAGCAGCCAACTCCTGCTGCCAACTGCCGCTGCCACTTCAGGGAGACCCTTTCTGGAGCTCCAGACTTGCACCCTCGCGCGCTTTGGAATTTCACAGCACACTGTCAACACCTAAGTCCCTGCCAAATACTTGGCTCTCTTTGCAGAGCTTTGCAAATTACATACTGAAGATGACAAGCCACACAGCTGTGCAAATGCAAAAAGATTCCTTTTTTTTCCTTCTGTTTTTTAATTAAAAAAAAAAACTCATGTTATATTTTCCACAGCTTAAAAATATCTAATTATACAGCCCACTAGAAAAATTAAAGTCACTTGACAGGAAAAATAAAAAGTACAGACAATAACTGTGGGATTTGCATTCCTATTTCATTCCTATTCCCTCCTCTTGTCTCTAGTGCTGCTGGTATGACTGATATGTCCCTCCCAAGCACCATCACACAAGGTTTTCTTTCCTGCTGCTGTTTTCTGCTTTACAAGTAAGAGGAATAATGAAGGACGATAGAAACAAAGACATAACGAGCTCTTCAATGACTGTTAATATGAGCTGCTAATAATGAGTCAAGAAGCTCACAGACAGGAGCATCCCAAAGGGATTACAAATATTCTTTCACAAGGCTACATGTTACCATAGCTCCAACAGTCTGCAAACTAATAAAATGAAAATGAATAAAAACAAAATAAATTATTTAATAAAAGGATAGTTTCTAACTTGTATTCAACTTGGTTTCAGGACCTTAAACTATTTAGATAATGTCTAGATAATACCATCAGGGTTAAGGACTTTCAGTTTTAGTAGACTGTCCATCTTCAAGAGGAAAAAGCAATATAATGAAGGCTCACATTTGAATAAGAAAAAAAAAATCCAACAATTAAAATAATGTAATTGTAGAACAGTAAGTTCCAGCTATACTAATGCTTCCATGAATCATTTTCCCAGGAGATTACTCTTCCTGCTCACAAAGAAGTTGAAGTGTTTTTCACCATTTACCAGAAGCAATTTGGTTTATTTTAGAAAGTAAATACATTCCAGAGATCAATAGACTAATTTCTGAAGTGGACTGCCATATCTGTTTATGGCTGACCATCATCATCTCCTTCACAAGCACGGAGCCACAGATGTTTTTTTTACCCAGTAATAAATGCTGAAATTACATTCCTTTGCTCCTCTGCAGGAAGCCTAATATAGGCACCAACCCCTGTGTAAAAGTTTTAGAGCAATGACAGTCACATACCACCAGCCACCAATGATCAGCTGGAGATCCGAACATTCAGTATTTTAATTCATATCTATTTACTAAAGATTTGCTGGAAAAGACAGACTGAAAAAAAATGCAGATCCGTTTAATCTACATTCTGGTCACCCACAAATACTGACATGCTAATGACAATCTACACAACATCTGAACTTCAGACAAAATCTATTTGTGTGCTTTATCATCTTTTGATAATCTTTTGAAGCCGAAGACTATGATGACCATTTGATCATAAAATCACTTATTATCACTTTCTTTGTCAAGAAGCATTTGATCAAATCCACATTCAATCCTAAATGTAATTTTCTTCTTCATTTTTGCATAAAGATTTTGAAACCAGAACGATATGAACAACTATCTTCATGTAACTTCTAAGGGAAAAAAAAAAAGCGTCAAAAATACACATATCTCCAGTCAAGCTGTGCTTCCTTCTCAGCCTCATCACCGTGAGGCTTTCCAGAACTGAAAACAGATTTTAATTAGAAGCACCATACTTTTCTGCCTCTCTTCCCTGCCCTTAGAAAGCAACTAAGAGGAAAACGCAGATCAGATGAACTTAAAAAGAAGTCTGACATGGAGATAAGAACCAAAGCAATACTGCCACAGACTTGAAACTTTCACTAATTTAGCCTTACGGAAGCAGTTATGCGAGTGCTCAAAATTACCTGGTGAACTGCCCATCTGGTAAGACTCTTCATGGCCATTCACTGCTAAGCCAAAACGAAACCTTGTAACACCGACACAGGACTCCAAGTCTCAGCCGTTCTTCCAGTTGAGGAGAGAAACTACACATCTGCCTTGTAAACATCTCAAAAATGCCATCTTCAAGTTCCTGGGCATTACTCTGGGTGCCGCTTTACATTAAAGCAAAACGGCTACTGCACTTGGCACTGAAATGGGTAGTTTGGCTATTATTTCTCCACCACCTCCTCACACTGAGTCTGAGGTCCACCTGACCGCATGCAGAAACACTTCAGGGAGTTCAACCAGGAGACAGAGAGAGACGCAGAGATGTAGATGCACACACAGAGTTTTCTGCTGATTCTTTTCCCAAAATGCCTCTCCTAAAGGGCTCGATAAAGATAAGACCTACTTGAGGAACAGGAGGGCAGAACTGTCCCCTCAGGGAATGGGGCAGCCACTAGCTGACTTAGTTTTAAATACAAAGCCCAGCCTAAACCAGAGAAAGGTTGTTTTTTGGCTAGGCCCAGGATGGTTTCAGTATATTAACAGTTGCACCAACAAGGCAGAAGACAGGAACCAGTGGAGGAGGAAGAGAATGGGATCCTCCCATCTGAACTTCCTAGAAGCACCATCCTCCCTCTCTTCCCTTGCACCAGTGCACATCCGATCCCTCAGGGAGCTAATCAGAGCGCTCGGGCCTTGTAAGCAGGGTGGGTTTTTTGCTATTCCAGACGCCCCAGCTACTACACCAGAGGCTGCACGAGAGGTGGCAGCAGAAGGAAGGGAATGGACTGCCATGTACAGCTGCAGGTTGGAACCAGCACACGGGCTCAACCCAGCTGCAAAACTGCTCCTGCCAGCTCTTAACATACAGCTCCCTGAGGCAGCTCACTGCGCAGCCCCCCCAAGCCAAACCTGGAACAAGCCTGCCCTTCAGTCCCACACAAACGTTAATGAAGTTACCACTTGATTACAATTTAAGACAGGAGTCACTTCACCAGCTGAAGGTTCCTCTTCCCTGCCATGTTCCTGATGTTCATCTAATCCCCAACAGGGCGCCCCAGTCCAGCACGGGATGCACACACTGGCAATATAAGCTGCTATAGAAACCTCTGTCACTTGCTTTAGTACTACTTCGAAAGCCTCCATCAATAAACAGCCCAGAAAAAGGGACACGAAACACAAGAACTAGCAAGCTTTTGACATTTACGGGAATAAAATTATTCCTGGAATTTGCCACTGAAATACATGTATAAGCATACTTTTTCACAGAATCATTTTATACCTTTAATTCCAATTTGACTAACGCTTTAATTAAGATTTGGACATCATAATCACTCAAAAGTCTATAAAAACCACCAAGCCTATCCAGACATAGAGGACTTCAAATCCAGTGTGATTTGGCACTCTGTGGCAGGTTGAGGGATCCCCAATTAAGCAATGTAAGACTTGTACACGAATAACAAGAACATTAAGACCTTCTTACAGCATAGCAATTATTTGCCAGAAAATACTATCCTCTTATCTGCTTTTATCACTAAGATGTAACATGTAATTAAAGTGACAGACTTAGCTTGCGCTACACGCACTTGTCAGTTTACATGTGAACAATAATCAGTCACTTGTATGCAAGCAATAGTTTCATGCAACAGTTTTTTTTAATCGCTACCTGCTTAATTTCTTCTCTCCACCACTTCAGTTCTCATCCCAAGTTTCAAAGCATGCAGTAACTATGAAAAAAGAAAGGAAACCAGTCCTGATCTGGACCCAGTGCAGGAAGAGGGAATGCTCTTCATCCCATAGAGTGGAAACAGTGACACAGAATGAGCTGCTGAGAATCTTCTCTAAATCCTTACATTTTCCCCCATGAATCTTCCTTCCAGGAAAATCTATTCAAGACTTCAAAAATGTGTTTTTACTTCCTTGTGAAGAACTTATTTATTGGTATTCTTGGGTTCCCTTTTTTGATTCTATTGTTATCCCATCATATTCCCTCAGCTATATGATATAATTATACCTACATAACAAGAAATATGCATACATAAATATATACTTACACACATATACGTATACACACACCCACTGCTTATCTTACTCTTCCCATTCCATCTTTCCCATGTGTGCATCGGCATGTGCATGCTTTTTTAAAAAAAATATGTAAAAGTGAAATTTCTATATCCTGTAAGAATATAGAAAGAGTATATACCCTTTAAGAGAATTTATATTACTCTGGTGTCCTGCTGTTCTGATTCTTTCCACTTGTCACTCAAGATGACAAAATTTTGACTTGCTAGTCAGTCAGGAATTAGCAAATGTTTTAGCAGCAGAATAACACCCAGCATATTAAATGACAGCTCAGACATTTTCTGGACCACATTGGTCAGCTGAGGAAGGAGGAGAAAAACACAAGACTGCATTTCATATGTTTAAGTGATTCCTAAGAGTATCTAGAATGTTCTGCCTTTCACAGTTGCTGTAAAAAGGTGAGTTTTAGCTGTAGAAGCAGCTAGCAGTGACTACTTGGGCTTTAACTCCCCAGATGCAGAAATATGCCTTTTCCCAGCAGAGACATGTGCTTGGACTCTATTCAAACTCTACACAGTTAAGAGACATGAGTAGCCATCTGCCTGTTCACTGAAAACAGTTTGAGGCAGACAATTTGCTGTTATTCACTCCAGCACTCAAAGTATTAAAAAAAAATAAAAAGAGAATGAAAATAAGAAAAAGAAGAAATGCAGCATTTCTGCTTCCCTTCTCCTACTACGCAATTGTTTCAAAATCAGAGACTCAGAGATAAAAAAAAAAAAAAAAAAAAAAAAAAATGTTATAGAAATGCTTTCCTCCCTACCTCCCTTCTATTTTTCTGGCACCTATGTGAAGTATCACTGCCTTGTAACTAATATCTGGTCTCTAAAGTCCAATTATTGCAGTACTCAAGCTATTGATTACTTGCTTGTTACAGGGAACAGCGAAGAGATGCTTTAAAACACCTCCAGGTGAAAATCGAGTTAATGCTATACATAATGCTAAGCTCAGGAGAAAATCTACCTCTTGTAACATTGCTCAAGTCTCAAAAGGCTGGGGGGGAAAAGCAAATCAGGAGGCTTTGAGACAGACCTCCAGCTCCCCAGGAACTCCAGGGCCTACTTGCACAGCACCTGCAAGCACCCAGGGCAGAGCACTACCCTGCAGCGCTCGGTGCTGCAGAGCGCAGCAGAGCCTTTCGCCAGCTCTGAGGCTCTACTTGCTGTCCTCAGGCTGCTACCTCTGTTAGCATTTTGTACCTAAACCTGCTCCTGCAGTTTCAAATGTTCATTCATTTGGTTCCTTGGTTATGTAAACCCATCAATCAGAGATTTTTCTTGTCTTGCAGGCAGGCTAGGAACGCAAAGAAAACCATGGCACTAGTAGGCTATTAGGGTAAGTACAGGATAGGAAGGAAAGGTACAAGAATGAGCCTAAAAAGATGCTGCCTTTCGTGTTTCCAACAGTTTGCAGCTCAGGGATCTTCTGTCACAGAAGCTGTACCTTTATTTTCAACAGTCTCCTATTCAACCACTCAAGCACTTTTTTTTTTCCTAATAATTTTTATAATTGCTTTTCAAATCTACACAGGCTTTTGGTATCCAAAACATCCCATATCAACCTCCAGATTTCAATCATCTTTTAGTTTGAACCTCCTATCTGATTATGTTCTTTGATGTTCCCTCATACCTACAGTAACAGCCAATACTTCCTATTGAACTACTCAAGGCTCTCACTCACCCCACACTTCCTTGCTCCTCCTAACTGCCTTCTTTTCCCTGCACCATCACAAAAGAGGTTCCAGTCAGTCCTTCTCCATACAGACCTTCATTGTGAGCAGAATATCAGACAAAGTCTGCAAATCAACAGAGTATTGTGACCAAGTAGAGTTGCACCTTTGTTCTGTCCTTGTGCTGTCTAGGCACTTCTGGCTGGCCACTTGATACAGGATACCATCATAAAGGGGATTTTGGTCTGATCCAGTAAGGCTATTCTTTCTGATGCTCCATCCATGAAGCAAAACCCCAGTGTGAAAGTTTAAGTAAGTCCCTCTACACTGAACACAGATAGAAGAACTCAATTCCTCTGAATTTTCCGTTAGTTTTGCTTTTTTAAAGCATGTCTTTTACATGATGACCATCTATCAGCCCCTGAGACTCCCTAACAGACTCTCTACTGCTGGTTTGCTTGCAGAAGGATTTATCAGGACTTTCAGGAAACTTTATAAAACGTCCAGCTGAACAGGAATACGTAGAAAGGTACACATAGCACCACTGCCACATGGCTGCTTCCCACTGTGCAGAAGTGGGCAGCCTAGAGCACGTAGCCATTAAGACTGACAAGAATTATTTCGATTATTATCCAAAAGCCAGTTTCTTCAGCAAAACTCTGCTTATTTGTTGATTCACTACTACATCACATGCAAGAATGCCATCTACAACATTAGCACTAACAGGTTCTGCAGCCTCTCTATATCATTTGAAGGTCTCTCACAAGAACTTTCATATCATTTGAAGGTCTTTCACTCAGTATGCATTAGTCATTGGTACCATTTCCTCTTGTACCCACGTACAGATCTGACTCTGCTAGCCATGCAAGAAATGGAGGAAGAATGGCAATAATTGCATTTTTATTTCCTGAAAGCATTCTTTGAATAGTAATTTGGTTTATTTGATTCAAATAGAAACATGCAAAGAAATCCTGATCAAGCTTATTTAAAAATATAAATGCTACAAATACTCTGCTGTAGGAGAAGAGGTCAAAATAATTAGCATACTATAAAACTTCATCTGTGAAACAAAAATAGAGATATAACAAACATTCCTACCAGAAAGGGAGCTTCAGATCCCTTCTTCATATCATAAAGTTAGATCTAGATTTAACTATACAGCTGTTTATGCCAGCAAGAATTCAGAGAACTTTAGATATGGAACAAAGTGTCATAAGAGCTCAAAATACACTTTAAATGTTACTTTGAAATATCATTATGGGATTATATAGTGCATATAAATATATTAGGAATAACACACTGGAAAAGAGCTGTATAAAAACAACACTTAACCATCCAGCAAGAGAATTGCAGGATTCAATTTTGGCAGCAAGACAGGCTATCAAAAATATTTCTTTATTATTTATTTTATTTTTATTATTTTAATAAAATAGTTGCCTGGTTGTTTCCACTTTGCAGTCCAATTTTCAAAGACACTTAAAATTCTGACTACACCACAGTTAATACACAAATGATGTTCTCGCCATCTTGGAGAGGTGGGCAAACAAAATGAACCTTTTTACATCTACAGTTATATTTATGTGCGTAAGCAATCATGGAGAAAAAACATTTTCGTCTTCTAAAGATATCAATAAAAGTGCTTGGAAGACTGAAGGTATATTTTTAGTAACTGTTTTAGCTTAATATTAAAGCATATAAAATAAACAGTATATTCCTCTTCTTCTAATCTAAGCATCTTGTGCATTTATTTAAATAACTCCCACTTTCAAAATCTATTCCAGCTTAGAAAAGATTTATGTCATTACCACTTGAGGGCAAGGAACTCCTCCTTCCAACAGCTTGCTAATTTTAAAGTACCTATCCAAAATACTTATCATTTTGAGGAGAAAAAAAATCAGATATCACTTCCACTGAAAGATGAATACTATAAATCTTAACAGGATAACCTCTTTCAGTTTTGGTAGACTTAAACCCGACTTAAAACTGTTATCAGGTCCACCGATAACAACTACATGAATCTTTTCACTTCATTAACTCTCAGACTGGACTTCCAATAAAACTTGTATAAGTTGATGTTTTAAGTATTAATCAATCAATGTATTACCCAGGTATTTGTTTATAAATAAATGGTTGTTTACCCAACCATTCAATGGCTATCTGCTGACAACTTACGAAATTCACTTCATGAATTTTACCTAATTCCCATAAGTTCATTATGATTCAATATTTATTTACTAAAAAAGCAGTCTGACTAACTTAAAAAATAAAGCAAAGCCTACTCCTTCTGAGCAATAGGTGAGGAAAGACAACTTATTATTTCCTATTATTTTTCTACCCACAGACTTCTATCTAAATATGAACACGCCAAATACAGCAGTCAATCTATCAACCAGACAAGGCTCTCCTAATTATTTACCTTCGAATTACCTTCCGTGTGATGTTTGGCACAGGATCGAAGCTGAGTTATCCAGTACTGTTTCTCCTTGGCATCAGCAGCTGGAACAGAAACAAGAGAATGAAGGATTTCACACAAATGTATACTCTTTTTTTGCATAAGGTAACTGTCTTTAAACATATATATGCTACTGTGTGCAAGTGTGCACATCTAAAAATGTTATGTACAATGTGCATATGCTATTTATTGATCAGGACACATTATAAATCTTAATTTACACTAATTAAGTATGTACCAATTCTTAAGAACAACATGTCTAAAACTCAATTCAAGATGCTGAGACCAGTTAGAAGAGAAGTTTACAAGGGCCCTTCACGGTTATCTCCTTCAAGTGTTACTAAAAGCATAGTTACCCCAAGGAGGTATTTTTTTCAATCCACTTCTGCTTTACTTGTATCCTTTCAAGGTGAAGGAACATACCATAGCATTTAAGCCAGTGAAACCTCTATATTGAGGCTGTCAATCAGCAAGTTAAGCAAACTACCAGTTCATCAGAAAACTTAGTACTTTTTTAAAAACATGGTTTTACTAAATCCCTCTGAAAACCCTCTGAAAAACATAAACAAGAATGAAAACAAATTTCCTCCGCTCACCTTTGAAAGTCAACTCTAAAAGTTATCGAAAACATTGTCTGCAGTCTATAATTTTTTATTCAAGAGAACTCTTACATGTTATATTATCTTTCTCACATTTCAGAACAAGAGAATGAAAAAAAAAATTTAAGGTGCAGTAAATTATTCCGAAGTTTACAAGAACAGACTATCTTAACAGCCCTCCACTGGCATTTTTACCTTCTCCAACCCACCAGCGGATTCATTATTGCACATTAGCTGTAGGATGATGGGAAAGGGAAAGAATATTAGAAATGAAATGCTATGCTGTGGACAGCAGTGGAAACAATCCTTGCATCCTTTGGAGCAAAGGAGATGCACTGCACAATCAACATGCCACTCTGACTGCTAGGGGGAAGAAGATTCTTGGGGCATATTCTACCTGCAATATTCTATTTATTGGAAATGCATGCATATTTAAATTCACATTACTGTTCCACTGTGCATTATAATTTAATACGCAAAACAGCAATTGAAGTCACTACTTTCTGGCAGTATAGGAAGTAAGCAGCAGCAGGAGGGCGCAGAGCCCCCACGCTGCTGGCACTGCAGGCACACGGTACCTCTCAGCTTGTACATCTCTCCGTTGGCAGAGTAGACCACCAGCATGTGCGGCGCCTCGTCGCTGGGCGAGATTATAGCTCCCGCTAAAGACAAGGCTCCTCGTGGCTTCTGGCTTTTACTTTGTTCGTTCACGAAATATTGCAGAATCCCCGTCTCAAAGTCCAGCACAAAGTACCTGTTCAAAGAAATTGCAACTGTAGAGTATTTCTGCTGCGGGGTTTCACATGCAGTCATGCAAAGAGAAGCAAACACAGATCTTAGAACAAACAAATGGGGTTAAGGTCTTTTTGCCAATAAATAAATAAAGAAAGAAAGAAACTTAGTTATTTGTTTTGTTCTTCATATTTCTTGGGATTAATGGTGAGGTTCCCACAAGAGGAGAAGCAAGGTGAATTTCTAATTGAAGAGGCTTTATATAAAAAAGCAATCAGCATATATCTTAAATTCCATTTCCAAGTGGAAATCATGTACAGTATTACACAAAGCAATTATTTAATACTTTTTTCCATTTATAACCTTGAAATAAATATGTGCTTCTTCCCTAGTCTTCTGAAGCTAGTCTTCTGAAACACTATACAGCATTTTCCCAGAGGGATAAGCACAATTAAAGGAAGCATAATGTTTTCACCTGCATGATCATATCTCACAGGTAGAGATCTCATAGCAGGATTTTGAAGACCATCCAAAGCAAGCAAACATTCCGTTCCCATTAAACACTAGGAGCCCCCTGTAAGGTGGCAGTTAGGAGGAGAGGGGCATAAAAGCCTGAAACTGGTTTGGTCACACTGCTAACAAATTCTAACCACAAGAGAAAAAAGAAGGTTTACTGCTGATTGTATATTTAAGACCAAGAAGCATCCAGTCAGTAAAAATCCAGTAACCAAGATAAAATAAAGAAATAAACAGAAGTTATTCAGAGCCCCAGTACACTGAGGAGGGAGAGCAAGAGGAAGGGAGGAGCCCAAACAGGGGGCAAAGGAGAGGAAAAGAACAACAACTCTGGCTGCAAACTCTTCCAGGATTTTATTCTGATACATAAGCAAAGAAAACAGCGTGACTAAGCACATAATAAAACACATCTGGAAGGTACTGAGTCTGATGATCATCTAGTTCCTAGACTGCTTATTGTTAGAATCTGCTTTCACAGGATTTTGAGAAAAATTTTGGGAAGTTAAAATAAAGAAAGCAAATGCTTTAGGTAACAAAAAAGGAGAACACATTTAGACACAAATGGCTGCCCATATTCCCATTTAGACTCACTAGACTAAGTAACGTTTCTCGTTTGTAGAGCACTAAGCTTTAGTCCCGAGGTAGCTCCGTGGGGAAGCCGAAGGACTTCCCTTCCCTTCCTTCCCTTCCCCTCCCGCAACCGCGTCCGCTCCATGGTGAGCACCACGAACCAACTGCGAGGGCAGCACCATTTCCATTGCCAAGTGCAAATCACGTATGCCATTACACTAAGCAGCTACTCAACACTTGGCCACTCTTTGCCACACACACAAGACAGCAAGAGCAATCACCGTTCGTTCTCCCTCCAAGGACAACGCGCTTGGGAAGAAGAGCTGCTCTGAGGCTCTCAGAGCCACATTCATGAAGTCCCACTCACACCACCAGCCCGCAGGCAAAGCACCCCCAGATGACTGTGGCTGCCATGGTCACTGCAATATCATTGCGATAAGGCCACATCACAGAAGTAAAGTAGCCACAGCAGCACAAGGACATCCCATACAAGGGCCCTGCTGCAACCCACCTGCGCAGAGTCCCTGCACATCACAGCCATCGCACCTAACATGTTCATCCGATCTCCCAGCCACACGCACCAGAAAAAACATATTTTCATCGGTCTTCTGCCTTCAGTTTTAGGGCTTTTGATGATGTCTGAACTGCCTGCAGAAGCTTGCAACCTGCTTTTAGCGCCAACCTGCAGAGAAAGAGCACGCTCGCTTGCTGTGAGCCTTCGCATCGCGCTCTCCAAGCGGCCTACCTTCCTCGCTGCCCCAAATGAATCTCCTTCTATTTCTGCCAGCTTTGAAAGCCACAAGAGAAAAAAGAAAATAAAATCACCTACAAAACTATAAATCCCAAGTGCTCAGCAAAAGCTGACTCTGTCAACACACCGGCTTCCCATGCCTGTGGAGAGGCCAACAGCTCCCAGATTTTTCAGTCACCTTGACCGTGACATTGTTTATATCTCACAGAACAAAGTATTTGCTCATCGAGAATTTGGGTTTGATGCACAGCTCCTCTCTTCACCTTGCACCCAGCCATATCACAGAGAGACAGCAGGAAACTGCACAGACACAGATATTCTCACATCAGAAGCAGGAGGATAAGGCACTTTAGGAGTACTTCAAAGGATAGCATGGGGCAAAAAAAGGACAAAAGCACAGCAAATGCTAACCTAAGCAGTGAAAGACTTCAGTGAGGGGAGAGGGGAAATCAGAAAGATTGCAGCAGTTTCCAGAAACGTTTTCTTGAGTCATAATAGTTGACCTAGTACAGATCCTCATAAAAACACAGGAAAAATAGGAGACTAGAGTCTTTTATTCTGAAGATAGAAAGTCAATACACATATACAGCAGGGTAGAGGTAAGGAAATGGCACGTATCACATTTTTGAAGCCTCATGACTCTATATGAAAAGAAGAAGGACATTATTTGAGATCATTTGTTCTGCCACCAGGGACTAACCCCTCTCTAACCCATTAATCTTGCCACCTTATTCTCCATCTTTCTACCACCCTTCCTAACTGAGCCTCCCTTTACTCGTGATCCTGTATTTCTGCAATTAACTTTAAGATCAACATTGATGGAGACTTTTTGATACTCTTTAGAGAGCAAGCAGCTGGGAGGTAGTAGAGCTGAGTTACACAATGCTAGATACACACAGAATCACGGAATGCTTACGGTTGGAAGGGACCTCCAGAGATCCCCTAGTCCAACCCCCTTGCTCCAGGCAGGGACACCTAGAGCATGTGCCTAATTTCCTAAAGAAACAGTATTACTAAAAAGCAGGCTAAAGCCTGTAAAATGAAAGCTTTACTTGCTTTTTTTATTATTATTATTTACAAAGCTACAATTCTATACCAACACTGAATTGCGAAGTTCAGTGAACTTGACTTGGTTATGGGGGTTGTAGCAAGCCTAAACCTGATACAGGTGATGGTCCTCTGGAAAGACCTTTCCTAGGATAAGCATCAAGAACAGAAGAACTATGAATAAAGTACAGAGACAATGACCTGCATATTAGAAGTACTAGCCCCAACACACCAACACAGTGTTATGCAGAAAGGATTAAGCAAATGACAGCTGTCCAAATGACTGACAGATGAGTATTTCTATTATTACAAACGTAGACAAAAAAAGATTTTTCAATTAGCACTCATTAGAAGAGTCCACTTAAAGCCAGAGCATTATTATTTTAGCACACTGGCCAGTTTTGCTCAAGCTCTGGATGCCCCCAAGCCGCTTCCCCTCTGCCTCTTCCTGCATGGTGCTGCCACAGACCTCGCTGCAGCCCCTGCTGTCTCTTACCAGGCATTTCACCTACCATTAGCCTGCAGTCAATCCCTGCTCGCTTGCAGATTTTCTCTTCATAAGCACCATGCAGCAACGCAAGCACCTCAAAATAAATTGCCTGTATTTGCATTTTGCTCCCAGGTTACTTTCAGTTCAGTTCAACTGATCAATGAAAGGACACTGAACATTTACAAGTGTGTTATATGGAAGAGGCAGTCAGATGCGACAGGGTATTTTCAAGTATTTTACTTCTCGATACTCGTAAGTGCCTGACAGCTATCTGAGCACAGCCACCAGATACAAATACATTACCAAATTATGTCACCGGCAAGAGAAAACATTCTGGCCCCCTCTGAGAACTGGAATTTTATTGCTGTTCCATCAAGTTTAAAAAAAAGAGCCTGACACTGACAGAACTTTTGCAAGTTATGATGTTGTCAACGTGACCTGATAACGACACTTTATTTCTATTTCACCCACCACATCTCAAAACTTGAGCTCTCCCTCAGAATTAATTAACTTTGGCTTTTTTTTTTTTTATGCATTATGTAACTATCTGTCAATTAGACGCTCGTCATGGAAAGTTTCACTCCCGAGCTGTTACCTGCTCACCTTGACAGCACCCAAAGACATCAGCAGCAGAAAGTCAGGCAGAACCCGTGGTGCCCATGAGGGAGCTGCCTTCCACAGGACAGCAGCTTAGGAAAAGCAACTCTTGGGATGATGTTTCAAAGTCTTTCCAGGATTTTTCTCTACCCATCGGGTAGAGAAATTTCATTTGCACATGTCCAGTAAAATGAAGCATTTTGATATTCTCAAATAGAGATGTATTTTGAGAAAAAAAATAAATTCATAACTATCTTAAAATCATATTTTATATTGCTCTTTAATCCCAAGAAGGTTTCAAGGGAGGGCTGCCAAATGTTTCTGATGTTTTGAATCCCATCTCCCACTCCCCATTATTGAGTTTTCTGTCCCAGACTGTGGTATCAAACTGGGGACTGCACAACACACGACACGGTTTATACAAAGACTTTTGCCACTGGACAACTACAAACCCAAGGGACGTCTGCCAAAAAACTTACCCCACGTGGAAAGCAGAACTGTGTGAATTACTTCCCTGGGCTCCTGAACCAGCCTGCTTGAGACCCCTGCTACACAGACTGTCTAATCCCAGGGTTAATTTGTTTTAAACTAGTGTGGGTGCCTGGATAGTGCACAATAGCAAAGGCAAATCCTTTAATAAAAGGCAAAGTCTTCTGTAATCTCCAAACAATAAAGTGTTTTACATTACACGATGAGCTAAGCCAGCTACTGCTTCTGAATGGAAAGGCATGGTACATTTCTGCAGCAGGCTGGCCTCAGTTTTGGCTTTTTAGATCATCTTTCTGTTACTCTTCCACTAATGGATAGAGGAACCTTTCTCTCCAAACACCACTTTAGCTCTTCCCTTGTCCCACTGCTCTCTTAAATCAATCTCATAATATGTACTTCTTCATGACTTTTTTTTTAATTTTGCTTTAGGTATCAAAAAAGAGAATTATTCAAATGAAAATATCTTGATTTGAAACAGTGCAGTCTTTACTCAAATTTCAATCCTCAATAGGTATCTTCTCCAGCATGTTGGACAAGTAGTGATTCCAGACAACTTAAATTC